TACGCCGTTTAGCACAGACCTTGTTGATTTAAGTGCTGAGGATATTATGATGCTCCCGATGCAGCTGATGACGGCACATGACGACGACGCTGACGGTGGTAGTGGCTACTCCGGTTCAGATGGTGATGCTCGCAAGCATGATCGGCACATGCCATGGATCTGGCCCGCTAGAGAGATTCGAGCACGAACCCAGAAGCAACGATGGCGCATCTGGAAGAGTTGTTCGCGAACTTTCAAGACGGTGCAGGTGGAGACCGTTGGCGATGTGTACATGGCAGTTGCTGGGTGCCCGCAGCCAATCGTCCAGCCCTCACTTGAGTGGCAAACATAGGCTGTTGCAGACTCTCTCGTTTTTGTCGACAACAATTGGCAAGATCTGTCTGGGAGACCGAAGCAACAGTGCTGGTTCAGTTCCAAACGAGGCGAACCATGCAGATGTTGCAGCTCACTTCGCCATTGCAGCACAGTCCAGCATCGTGAGGCGAATATGGTCAGAATCACTTCTTTGGGCATGGTTTCCTAAGCTCTCATGTGGCAAGCTGGAATGCAGTTTGTGCAGGATGCGTGCCTCTGATGTCATGGCGCCGCAGGCAAAACGAGCAAGCTTCCGCAAATCTGCATGAGCCACGGCCACTGTGTATTTTTGTTCGAAATCTCACGAGCAAACTAAGCTGTAACTGGGTGCTGCTGTCGCGGTCTGCAGGTTTATCTTGCTGGAGTTCTTGCGGGGCATGTCCTGGTTTGCGTGCGTCGTGCCAGAACGAATTAACTGCAAAGTGCAAAATCTCATGAAACCGATGTGAAAGAGTACCCGACCAAGAGCCGAATGCGGCATGTTGATCCTTTGACGAGGGTGTCGGTGGCAAGCGGCTCTCCACCATTCTTGGCGATCAGTCGCTGGACTGCGGGTTGCAGCGGGACGTGTGCAGAGTCTTCGTCTGCTCAGCTTTTGTAATGTGCTTTGTCTGACAACTCGATGCTTCCCTGGCATCCAGTGCGCTATGTGCTGATTTTCAGTTTTTGTTCCCAAGACTGCGATGGAGAGGAGCTCAACATACGAATTGGGCTGAACAGCGGCAAGATTCGGGCAGGCACCTGGCTTGGCTGATCCTTGTAGGATGTCCTATCTAGAATGCATTGTCGATGATGGAAGGAGTGGTTGGTCTGGACAAACCTCGATACAAGCTTTTCGGGGACACCGTGAACACGGCGAGTCGGATGGAGAGTACTTCCGAGCCAGGACTCGCTTGGCGTCACGGTAGGATTCAGCGAGAAAAGCACTGGGAATGAGTATACTGGATTTGTAGGTTATCCTCGCCTATGCTGGGATATGCCGGAACTTCGCAACGTTTGCAAGCCGTGCAGGATGCACCCAGATCACGGAGGCCACACAAGCCAGGTTGAGCGACACCTTCTACACAGAGGCAGTGGAATGCTAGCATGGTGGGCCATGTACTTTAGCAGAGCTTTGAAGCCAGAGCTGCCGCCAGCAAGCCTCCGGACGCTCTTGCAGGAGCGTGGCGAGATCGAAGTGAAAGGAAAAGGCACACTGAGGATCCGGTCATGGCATGACTCAGCACCAACGGCCTGGCTATGCGTAGTTCTGCATGTGCCCCTTCGTCTGTCACAACTGCACCCTGTCACTCTCCGGGCCAGGACGCACTTCTTGCGCGGGTACAACGTCATGGAGCAATCCCAGAGTTTGACGATATCATCGCACAAGATGCAGGTGCGATATGGCGAGATGAAAGAAGAGCTTGATTATTTGTCGGATTGAACATGGAGTGCAAGTAGACATCTTGGGTGGAGGACTCAGTCACCATTCGGGTGGGGCAGAAGGCCCACAAAGTGCCGCGGCTGGCAGCCAGAAGTCACGAAAGCTAGCTTTGTGGTAGCAGGTTCAAGTCTGATACCTCAGCAAGCAGCTAAGCTACCACCAGGACAGTTTGAAGCTGCTCGTAGATGGCCGACTTGTTGATCGTGCAGGGACATTCCGGAGCACAATGAGGTCGGTTAAGGTACTACGACAAGTTTGTATCTGTGTGTGGCCAGTGTCTTGCAGAAGATCGCTATCATCTCGTAGGTTTCAAGCTTCATGACAATACACATGTGTTCGCGTCCACGATGCCGAGCATACAAGCCGTAGCGACCGAGCTCTATCGACTCTGCTTCCTTTGTCTGCCCTAGCTTTCGTGGCCATCTTCTCAAGCTCTGGAGACATGGACTCATGTGCCAGTTCTGCAGCAGTCCAGCCTGCCGAAAGCAGCAGCCTTCGTAGGACACTGCCATAAACTGTTAAGGTCCAGTTCTCAGAGGGAGGTGAAGAAAGCAAGTCGTTAGCAGTGGTACCAGGACTCGCGAGTTTCCAGTAAACTCACAAGAACATGTCACATGTCAGATATGCAGAGTCACTGCATGAAGACAGCACCCGCTTTGCGCAGGAAAGAGGCTGCTTCGAAGAGCTGCAGGCAATGCTTTGAAGGAGCTGATGGCGACCATGCCACAGCACAGCCAGGCGGAGCCAGCCTTCTTCAGCCCTTCTGTTAACGAGCTCTTCACCTGGTGCGTCGAGCACCAACCTGCCAGGACTTTCTCGCTGGCTTTGCCCATATGCACCAGACCAAGCCCCTCAGTAACTTTTCTGTGCGGTCTTCGAAGTGGTGCCTTGGCGGATATCAGCGTCCCGAAACTGAGGCGAGCAATGCAGTGCTGGCAAGAATCTACTGTAGTGCTCCGGCCCAGTTCGATCCGAGAGCGCCAGCTTGCCATTCCCTAGGTATGACTGGCTGGACATGAAGCTTCTCATGGTGCCAGATTCCTCCAAATCGCCAGAGATGCTTCAGACTCTGCGAGCAGACAAGTACGAATTCAAGCAGAGCTCCCTGGACAGCTGCTGCTATGCCATGGCTTACCATCATGCTAGGTCTAGCTGTTGTTTCAATCAGCTGTTGTGCCTCCACCCCACTGGCTAGCGCATCGGTTCATCCAGGGTCTGGGTAGAGCGAGTGAATGCAAGTGAACTCAAGGCGGATGTCCAAAGCCTGCAGGATCGGCGGATCTTCTTCGCGCGGACACTGATCATTGCCTGGCACGTCTTGATCGCAGCGGCAGGGACTCTGGACTATGCCTTTGACATTGGTTCTCGCCCCTTGGGCCGGAATACAACTTGCAGATGTCAAAGAATATAGGGTATCACACTAGTCTGGCTAGTAGTCTTTGCGAGCGGAGGAAGGATCCAGGAAACATCGGAGTTTGCAGGAAAAAAAGGTCAAGAAAACTAAATAGCAGTTAAGCTATGAACACGCGTAAAAGACCTGCTAAGCATTCTATCCATCAGCACTGCCTCAATATCTCCTAGTACGCACCTCACTTTCCAAAAAGAGAAGCACTTTGGCTGTTTGGGGGCTTCCGGATCTCAGCTTCCAGTTTGCAATGAAAGCCCACGAAAGCAAGAACAAATAGAAGAAGCTAGAATAAGCTAAAGACTCGAAAAGCTAGAAAGGCTCGTACTCGGATTGTAAAGAAACTTTAGCAACTCAGGCTTTCAGCAAAGGAGACATGAGATTCCTTTTCTCGTTGTCTGTGCCCACAGAAGCACCTAGCTGGTCTAATGCCTGATGCGTCTTGGATACTTCTCAGATCATGGGATACACTTGTTGTCTTTAGTATGACCGAGTGTACCTATACATAGACACACACAATGACACATATCATATATATATATATATATGTACATTCACAAAAAATACACATGCATGCACACGTACGTATGTACACAGGTTTACATACATACATACATATATATGGTATCCCCC